TTTTTCCCCAGAAACCACAGGTTCTTGGTTTGCAGCCCTTTCAAAGAGCGCGTTTGCAAAGGGATCCTGCAAAGCATGCAGAATGGCCATTTGCACATCCTTCTTACAGAATCCGTCCTATCATTTCAACTATAGCAAGCTATGATTTTTTTTTATATAAATATTATATAAATAATGTATAAAACCGTAAAAATTAACTATGTAAAATATTATTTCTGAAACAATTTTAGATATATCCACTATGACTATAAACTGTGTCCTGACCTGTGTTATTTACATTTTGCTGCTTAAAAAAGCATTGAGTTAATTTTTTTATAGTCGACTAAAATATTGTAGTTCTGTGGTAGTAATATTTTAATGAAAATAACTACAATTAGAGACATTTGTATAAAAAAAATCATATTAAATTGTCTGTATTTTTGTAATGTTCCATTTTGTAAAGAGAAGAATATTCAAAGACTTTTGTAGAATACAAAATTGAAGTTTGTATCTGCGAAATTATTGCTGTATAAATGTGCTTTTTAAATAAAAGCTCATAACACAACTAAACATCCCAGCGCAAGTTGCATTCTGCCATTGGGTTGACCTTTCCCTGCTGAAGAAATAGGGCCCTTGCCCAGTGGGATGGTTGGAGGTGACCCCTTGGGATGTGATGATACATGAGGGCATCTGGATAAAAAAGACCTGATGCTGCTTTCAATGGATGTGCGAGAAGGTCCCACCAGCTCCTGGCTGGGGAGGGTGTGATGGGGACGCTCGTGGGTTTACATTGAAGTGCTCTTGGCTATGCCTGGTCTTTGAGCAAAATCCCTTTTTATTGAGGGCATCCCTTTTTCTTTAGCAATATTATAAGCTTTAAAGAAATATTACTGAAATGAAATGGAGTCTGAAGAGCCACGGCCCAGCTGCTGGGTGGCCTGGACAGCCCTTGCCTAGGAGGGCTCACGACCCCATTCTGTGCCAACACCTTTTCCATGAAAAATAATCACTTTGCAGCTGAACAAAAAACTTGCAGCTCGCTGGGTTCAAAGATGTGGGTGGGAGGGGAAAACGAAAAAAAAAAAAAGCCCACAACAACATGTGCTCAGATACGCACATGTGCACAGCATACAGTTACAAGGCAGCCTTGATTTATTTTTATTTTTTTACTTCTTTCCTCCTCCTACAGAACAAAATTAACTTCTTGGTGGTGACACATGGTCAGAGCTGCATTTCGGCCACTCCTTGGGTGAACCACATCAGCAAGATAACACGGCACAGAAATAATTTGCAAGAATGCATGACAGGAAGCGAATACCACATCAAACTGCAAATAAATAGCAGGTGGAAATTAAGCAAGCAGAACTCAGCTAGCACTTGCTATTATTATCCTAATTAGCAGTAATATTTTATTACGCGTGGAAAAACTTTGTAAACCTGCACCTGTCCTAAACGCAAAGGGAGTTTTTGTGGTGCTGCGTGTGATTTGAAGGCGCATTGGGGTTGAGTGTCTTTTAGAGGCGAGACTTTAGCTTCAGGGCAATGGCCATGAGGACAGACTTTTAAGCCCCAGTTTATCTCCAAAATATGCTGTCCAGGTCTGAGTAACCCACGTGGGATGAGGAAAGCCTGCCACGTCTGCCTGCGCTTGGCGTGAGCTTGGCCCTGTGGACCCCTTCCTGTGCAGCGCTGGGTCGGGTGCAGCAAGCACTGGGCTGAGAAAAGTGTTTGCTTTGCATCTTGACCCCCAGCTCTGAGAAGAAAACAGGAATACAGATGTCTGGGTGAAAGAGGAGGGCTTGGAGACATGTCAGAGGGGAAATGGCACAAGAGGTGATAAGAACTGGGACAGAGCTGGTGGCTACAAGGCCAGTGAGTTGTGGGACCTCACTCAGGATGCACGGGTCAGGTTGGGGAGATGGAGAAAAGGCCATAAACATGTGGAAGGCAACAAGCTTGAACATTATAAAACAGTGCTGAACATCAGCAGCGCCAAGTCCGATTTCTGGCTAAGCAATGGTCATTTCCTCCTCCACTTCCTGTCTGCCTTCCCTGTGCTGTCTGGTCCCTCCAGCTGGGAGGGTAAGGGCAGCTTCACAGGGCAACCTGTGCCCAGGGGGTGCAGCTTTGCTGGGCTTACCCCTGCTGACTGCTTGGGAAATAAGTAAAGCAGAGTGGTAATTGCTGGAGGCATGGATGGGAGAAGGCGATATGGGGTGTATGGTTCACAGAGACCTTCCTGGTAGTGTAGAGCAAGTGTTTAGGTGCTTACAGGAGGAATGAGCACTGATATTAAATGGGCATTTCAGTGAAACCCCATAGAGAAGTGAAAACCAAAGGAGCGGAGGTGTAGGTACCGCAAATGTGAGCATGGTGACAAGGCGAATCTATTGCCATCGCTTCCTTGCAGGGCAGGAAGGAAGTGAAAGAGAAACGGGTGAAATGGAAAAAAGCCGAACCCATACAAGCACTAGGATCCCAAGGCAACCACTTCTGCAGGTGCTCCCTGAGCAATGTCTGCATGTACAACTGGAGCTTGCACCTTGCACCACTGTGATGTTTGGTCCTTCACACAAACACACATCAGCAGGGATGCCGAACAGCCAGGAGACTTTGGGGCTGGCAGTCTGCATGCTCCTCTGCACGCTGCAGCTTTCCTGGGGAGGGAGACGGATGAACAAACTCAGATACGTTCATGCAAACAAAGCCTGTTGCTGGAGCCTGAGGCTGGATGCTAGCTGTGGCCTTCAGTGCTGCAAAATCTGGCTCTGCTCATGCCAATGCTAATCAGAGGCTGCAGAGCACCCAGCACAGCCATCTGCCTTTGATGCTCAGGCCTGGCTGGCAGATCCTTTCTGCACAAGGGGCCATTCTGGTCAAACCTGTCTTTTTTTGCACAGAGACCGGTTCAACTTGTTTTCACAGGCAGGGATTCGTGCATGCACCTGACTGCCATGGGAGCAGGTCTTTTGTTCCAGAGTAAGAAAGGTTTACGCAAGCCCCAGGTTCAGCCGTGTTTCGGTGTACCTAAATAGCCTCACTCAGCAAGAACGCTTGGCAGCCTTCAGAGGCTGAAGCTGTTGTACTTCTGCTCAATGATTTTCGGATATGAAGTTCTCAATCGAGGGAGGGGGAGGGAGGAGATTCGTCCCGCAAGCAGAGACCTGTTTTACTCATGCTCCAAGCCTGCTTTTCTTTTCATTCAGCTGTTCGTAAAGACAAAATTAGCGTTTAGATGTGGCGCCAGAGGACATCTCCCGCTGAGGTCCTGCAGCACCAGAGGGATGATGTTAAGCCCATGTCCATGGTTGTGGTGCAGCATGGCCGTCCCTGGAGCCAGCACTCCGTGTCAGCTGCATTTCTCCCCTCCATCTACCCTTTCTCTTGACACACCCTCTGCCTTCATCCACGGTTCCCCTCTCAAAAGGCAAGTGATTCTTACCTTGTGTTTATCTTTACCTCTGGAGACCAGATCAGAGGTTCAGGTTTTATGAATGAAGTGAATCACTTTCTTCCTGGCTTCTGTAAACATGGTCTGTATGCCTGCCCACAGACATGAGCTACTGCCTGTCTCCTCCAAACTTTCCTACCCTTGTTCCCTGCGTGCAAGGTGATGGTCCTGGCACAACCCTGAAGGCCAACTGCTTGTCTTAGCAAGTTACATCAAGGTTGAACAGAAGCTGTCACCTTCACCAAAGGAAGCAGAAGGTAGGAAAAAACCTCCTGTTGACTCAGCGGGAGAAAAAAAAACACACAAACAAACCCCAAAACCCAACAACTTTCAATTATCACCTTTGCTCACCACCCCCACTGGCACCAGTCGGCGCAGGAGTGCCTGTGTTAGCTTGTCTTGAGTTATAATTTCCTCGGGGCACAGACTACACCTAT